GGGATGAAGAGGGTTTGGGGTTGGGGGGGTTGGGGGTCTGGCTGAACTCCAGAGTGGGTTTACTGCTTTCATATTCCCTTTTGGAATTCTTGAGGTTTGAAACTCTTCCCAAAGCCTGGAGCTAATTTAGTTGTAAGCTTTTCCTTCTAATTCCTTGAGACTAATTACAGCCCAATTCCCGCAATTAAATCGATAAACTCCTCTGTGCTCTGCTAGGCCTGCCAACTGAACAAGCTTCTCTTCTCTTCTCTTCTCTTCTCTTCTCTTCTCTTCTCTTCTCTTCTCTTCTCTTCTCTTCTCAATTGTTTTAATGTCATGTTTTCTTTGGAAATGTTTATCTGTGGCTTTCTGATTGGGCTAATCAAATATGTCAATGCATGTGATTTGTAGGAGAAAATTGACGAGTATATTAGCCGAAATTCACTCAGAGCTTTCTTTAAACTTAAAAATGGAGGTTTTAAAATTATGTTGATCATATGTTATTGCTTGAAACAATTTGACATTTAAAATGGGATCCTTTGTGTTGTAGAAGAAAAGCTGCATTTTTTTCTTGTTAACCCATTTAAGCCCATAAACCAAAGTTCACAGCTGCCATTTTCCTTTCATAAGTAATTTTCTACATGCTATCTATGTTTAATTCCTTAATGACATGCAAACAAACAATCAAATAAAAGATTTCAAGAAAGAAAAAAAATAACTTTTTTATTTTCTTCCTGCCACATGAGGCACCTCAAATTCCAGGATGCAAAATGGAGGCAATCCCTCCTAATTAAAGGCAATTTTCATGTTAATAAAAATATTTTTTTTGTTAACAAATATATATCAACATAATCATGAAGGTTTTTAAATTCATCCAAACAAAACAAATATTTTAAGATATCTATATTTTTGTATATAGTTTGTCAAATTTTTAGGCGGCAACTATAGTTGCCGGTGGGCAAATACGTTGTAAGTACATAAAAAATGGCAAATTAGGGAATAATGTGTTAATAAGTTAATAAATCAAGGTTATTGGTCTTGTTTAATGTTTTTTTTTTTTTTTTGCTTTCATAATAATCAATTTAAAAATAACCCTTTAACTAATGTCTTTACTTTAAAGTACTTTTATTATACATAATTTCATAGAAAAATTTACTTCTCCTGGTCCCTCTCCCACAAAGATATAAAGTAACACAGAAAATAATGAACTCCTGCTTTTAAAAAAGCAGAATCAAAGAAGAAAAACACAAAACTACAATCATATTTAGTTCTAAACTAAGGCCCTGCTGTCCACACAGACATGGGTATTGCCTAAATCACTGCATTTTCTAGATGGTATCAACAAATTATCAGTTCATTTAAACCCAAAATATTGAAATAATTATAATTATTAACTTTTTTCTTTTTCTTTCTTTTTGACACACAATTGTCTGTTGGGGAAACTAGTGTGTGTTTCATCACTGTAAGACAAATGGATTAGTTTTTTGTGTTTTCATATTCATAAAACTATTTGATAAATCATTTCTGGGGGTTCATATCAAATGGTTTTCTCATTTTAATCATAATAAATGTGTTTATGAATATGAATTGATCTGTTGAAAGCAGTTGTTTTAAGTTAAGATGCCAAATGTTCTCCTCCTATACAATTTTTACATTGAACGGTGATTACAACCTATTTACCAACCGGCAACTATAGTTGCTGCATATTCAAATGTGATTTTCTTGAAAAAAATAAAACTTGTTCATAGGACACTATTAACAAGTATTTATGCATAAAACCATTAAAAAAAAATATGGGCAGAAATGGTGTAAGATAATGCAAGGCTTTTGTTATTGTTAAATGGATGACATTTAATTTTGTGTGTATTGTTTTTGTATATTATTATAATTATTATGAAATGATATTAAATCTCTTGTTGTCGTTTTATCAGTTTTTTATCCAAAAGTGAGCAATTAAACATATTTACGAATATAAAAGAAATCTTAAAATATTTCAATATCTATTTTCAAAACTTGCAATGTAGTAAACATTACACCACAAATGCCTTGTCTTCAACTCAACTTGCAATGAACCCCAAATATTCCTTTAAAAGGAAAACGGCCTTTAGTACAGAACCCTAAAAATAACCTTTAACCCAGACCTAAATTCTTCGACGTCCTCCATGCCTTTCTCATGCTTTTCCTTTCTCATTTTGAAATTTATCACTCCTGGCAAGGATGGGGCGTTTGCCTGTGGAGACGTCCAAAGGTCGAGCAGATGTTCCTCATGGTACTGGCTCATGCGTCTCTGGTCCTTCAGCACGTCATACACCTCTCTCTTTATCTCTCCTACTTCACCTCTTCTGTCTGTCGCTGCACAATAGCCACAGAACTCTGACTATTGTTCAGACTGTCTGGCGTTCTGCAAAGCTCGTACTGTGTGCATGGGGTCCGTCAATGCTGTGGTGTGATATAATGGTTTAATTGGGCTTGCCAGCATGGAGCTGGCTGAGCTCAGAAAGAACACCTTTGGGAGAATGAGATAGAGAGAGAGGTGAATGGAAAAAAAAAACCTCACAAGCATGGAAATGAAATGAGTCTGGGCTGTCTAGACCGTGTGCTTGGCTGTGTGGAGCTGTACGGCTGGTTTTTCAACATATGTGAATGTTTATCTCTCTGAAATGGAGCATGTGGGCCCGAGGTCCACTTGGTGCCAAAAGGGAGGACTTTTGGAGCAAAACCCACCCCAGTCAAGCAAGACAACATGCAGAGAAACTCACAATTCAATGCTTTATACGTTTGCAAGAGCGTACACTCATTTGCCAACAATCAAACTGAACTTAAACACATTTTCTTATCTTTGGTATTTTCTCTTTCTCAACCTCTATATCATGTTACTTTGATCTTTATAGTCACATTAAAGCTCGCTTAACCCTCTGTAATTGCTATAATTTTCAACTCATTCTGTAAACATAGCATTTGAAGGAATCAAGCACATATAACACATATTTAGAGTGTCCTTGATGAAAGGGTTAGCTTGCAGAAAATGCTGACAATGCTCATAAGAGTTGCTTTGACAGCTGTGAAGTTGTACTGTACAAACTGTGTTATTCTTCCTGTCCGCTACTACACTAACACTACTCTCACTTTCACTCACTTTAACTGTGTTTACATGTTGAATAAGGATCTGTTTACAATCAGAATGATAGGTCAGTCACTATGAAAAGTGGTCACATAAAAATATGGGAAAGATTCAGTGTCTGAAGGATCATTTAAAAAAAAAAATTAAATCATTTAACCACAAAAAACGTGTTTTAATCTTTAAACTTCAACTCTAGGTAGTGTATTTTCTCAATAAAATAAAGATTTAAAGTAAAATGCTGCAATAAACGTGTTGTTTGAGTAATAGTAATTTACTATATACTTTATACAGTAAGTAAAGTTTATTTATAAACTAATATTGAGAGGTTCAATTGCTTATGATTGCGTGCAGCCAGCCCCGGTTTATCCAATTTATGATTCACCAGTCAGACGATTCCTAAGCCATTATAAATACCCTAAGTTTATAACAGCCATCTTAGTTTTGAAGAATCCCCCCTTCCACCCCTACTCCTCCTCTTTTCCTAGATGTGTTGCACGGTGGCCCAGTGATTAGGACTGTTGCCTCACACTTTGCAGAATTTACACGTTCTCCCCGTGCTTATGTGAGTTTCTCCTGGGTTCCCCGGTTTCCTCTTACCCTGCAAAAACATGCAACTTAAGTTAATGGACTAATCCAAATCGCCACCATAGACATGTTCATTAGCTACTACAGCAGTGCGTTCTCGAAAAGTGTGCACTCTTGAAAATGCTGTAAAAGATTAAATAGGACATTTTGTATAATTTACTGTAAAGTAGCTGTTAAAGGGATAGTTCACCCCAAACTGAACATTCTGCCATCATTTACTCACCCTTCACAAGCTGGTTTAAGTTTATTTTTTATGTTGAACACAATATAAAAAATATATGAAGAATGTCTTTACAACAATCAGATTGTTGTCTTTACAACAATCAGAACTGCAAACTATGTACATGTACTGTAATACATTATAAGGGTTACAAAAGTAAAAGAACACATATTTTTTTGTGTTGAGGCTCCATCTTTAAATGTATGTTGACCATTAAAAAGTGAAAATAATAATAATGCAATAAAACAATTAATAAAAAAAAACTGTAAATAAAACTCAGTAAAAGATACATTTAAGTGTAGCACGCTATACAATACAGCATATATGGCAAATGCTGCATTTAGTGCACAGAGTGGAAACACTGCATACTGCTTGACATAAAGTATTTGAACCCCTTAAATCCTGACTTTGATGGTCTGCATTGCTTCTACACGTGTGAAAGTGTGTACATATGTTGTCTATAAGGATAATCTCAGCCGTGTGCCGTCCATTCCAGAAAGCTCCTGCCCTATCCTCTGATGCACAGCAGTGTGTTATATAAACAGAGGGAAGCAGACACCTTATTTTGTAAGAAGACCATGTGTGAAAATATGGAGCACACATTCGAAGAGGCTTTCAGAAAACCATCAGGATAGAGTGTTAAAGATGTGTTTTGGCAGAGATCGCGTGGAAGGTTTCATTTTGGAAAGGCATGTTGTGATCTGCTTTTTCCTTTCCTCTCGAAATCTGTAGTTTTGCCCTTAAATTTTATTACCTCAGACTTTCTGCCTGTAAAACGGGATGTGCATATCAGTGCTTTGAGTTTTATTGGCCCGTCTTCATCAACAGAGGGATCTTTGTCTATTGAACTGTTAAGGGGGAAAAACACAAGTTCACATTAAAGGTTTGTATTGTACATCTTGGTGGCTCTGACTTCAAAAAGAAAAAAAAATCAAGTTTATTTCAATTGAGGATACTTCATCAAATTTGGAAACGATTATATAGATGTTTAGTTATTGAAAACTGAAATCATTCATTTGACACAACGTGGCACTGTAAAAAAAGAAGAAGAAGAAACTAACAGACGCTAACAGTTTTATTTTGTTGTTTTCTTAGGTTGCAGAGGGATCTGAAGTGCACTTTGAGGTTGGGAATTTCTCAAAGTCGTGTGAAGTGAAGGTGGAAACTCTTCCTCATGGCAATGAGCATCTGCTTAATTGGGCTCATCACCGCTACACTGCAGTTACATCTTTCAGTGAGCTCAGGATGGCCCATGACATCTACATCAAGGTTGGAGAAGGTATGTAAGCGCAATTTATTTTTATTTGCTTTTTTGTACAAAATGTTTGTGTTCCTCAAAACAATTGGTATCTATTTATTTATTTATTTATTTATTTATTTATTTGTTGGTTGTTTGTTTGTTTTTTTTGTTTAATTAATGTATTTATTTAATTATTGTCTCCACAATTTTATTCTCTTTTGTATTTATACTACACAAATGATTTTAATTTAATCATTTAATCATTCAATTTAAATGTATTCAAAATACTAAATAGTTTTATTTATATACAGATTTCTTTAAGTATTCTTAACCTTTTTATGTTATCCCATCATTAAATTTCACAATTATTTTATTTTTGCTACAGAAATGAAAACATTATGAAAACAGCTTTGTTCAAGGTGTGAAGAAAAATTTCTGATATAATAACAGATTCACAAAAGTTCATTTGAATGAAAACATAATCTAGTTTAATTTGACAATTTCATAATAATTTTAAAATAAATAAAATATCACCAAATTTAGTTTTTCTTCAATATTCCAATCCAACATGAAAAATAAATTTTAGTATCACTTTATTCAAAACCCTAAATGCATAAAATATTTTAGTATAATCGTGTAGTATATATTTGTTCTAAATAATAAAAAATATAGTATAAACTTTTAAATATATTACAGTAATTGATTTAATGAATAATACGTATTTGTTGAGTTATAGATTTGCTAAACACAAATATTTTGCATTGAGACTTTTTAAAGGGGTGGTCCACTACGATATCATGTTTTAAACTTCAGTTAATGTGTAATGTAGCTGTGTGAACATAATCAACATCTCTGAATGTAAGTTTAATGGAAAGGGAGACATGGATTTTACAGAGTTAGCTTAGCAAAACCTACAGCGAATTAATTTGGGGACTACAAAAAATACTTATGGCTAGTGAGATCGCAAAGAATTGGACAAAGAAATGCTTCCAAAATCTCTCCCACTTCAGTGCTGGATTCGGTTAAAAAATTCCTCCAACCGACAAGCAGAATTTGAAGCATAACATTTTCCATGCATCTCAAATAACAAACTCACAAAAGATATGAGAACATACTTACACAAGCTTATTTTAGAAAGCATGAGGTGAGTGTGAGGTGTGCTCAGGCATGTGCTCATAATTTTTGTCTGATTAAGGCAGCTAATGCTGCTAGCATCTGCTCTGACTGACTGTTTACACATCGCTTATGCGTATGCTTATAGGGGAATGATGTGACGTGGTGACGCGGAGCCGATCCACGAATCACACCATGTTATGTTAGCTGACCAATCAGAGCCTCTTTAGGGCGGCCCTTTCGAAAGAACTTGGAAATATGACAGTCGTTTACATGTTAGCTGAGTAGCTGTATATAATCAAAGTAAGATATATGAAAAAATAATGTGATTTTCTACAAATGAAGCATGAGCACACATGGCTTTGCATCTTATAAACACAAAAAAACCTTAAAAATACACTGTGGATCACCCCTTTAAGTAAAGTTAAATTGTTTTAAGGGTAATGTTTGAAAATGTTTATAAATGTTATTTTTGTTGCCAAGCCACATTTTCAGCTCCCTCTGAACTTCAATCACAACCATGCCAATTCACTCTCAAAGAAGCCTATTGACTGTGTGTAGTAACTGGACCCATGGGTAATAAAGCAAAGCCACCTCAACATCATTCTGATTTCCACAGGGCAACATTCACTTTCATTTAAAAACAACCTGCCAAAATCTGCGGACTCGTTAAATGGCAGATTTTCTTCCTGTCTTTCATTTGTAATCAGTTGATTTGCTTACACTATGTGTCAGTCTCCTGAACAGCAGAGAGTTGGAGAATTGATGGAAAGGCAGAGTAAACATACGGGAAGAGTTTCAGACGGATGCTCTGACTGCCAGCTTGTGCGTACGGGCCTTTGGCCAAACCTGAAGCCTTTCTCAACAGTCCTTTTAAAAACAGTAGAAAGGGAGAGAATAGCACACCAAAAAGAAGTAGAGATGGTTTGGCTAAAAGGGAATATAGAAAACAGCACAAAAAATAAAGCTAAAAACAGAAAGTGCAAATATAAAGCATTACCAGGAAACCCTGTGAGATTTTGCTAAAGAAAGTATCCTAGCCATCTGCCCACATGGAAGACAATTGGCTTATTCTCAAAGGGATCTGATTTGAAACCAACTGTTACAATGTGATTTGATGTTTTAGTATGACAGGGCTGCCATATTTAATTAGAGTTTGTTGACCGAGGGTTTGAAATATGCACTATTAGCAGAGCAATCTGCAAAAAATAGCTTGAAGAAAGAACACATTGTGCTGTTGGGATAATGTGCCTCAAGAAAACATTGCCAACAGCATAAAACCACTGCTGCAGGTCTGTATTACCCAACAGTATATCCATGTGTGACAGCCTCTGTTGGTAATCATTATATCCACACTCAACCACTGACAAGAAGATGCAAAAGCTCGTTGATTTTTCAGACCAGGTCTACTTTCTTTCAATCAACAAAGGTCGCATCACACACTTTTACACAGAAGTCTTTAAAAACATGTGTGCAGGGACACCTTTCATTATCCTGGTCATTACTTTTGTAACTGCTGGTGATTTATTGCACATTAGCTTCTATTAAATTTTTTATACATTTAAACTGGTGTGATCAGTCTTGTCTGGTCCTTTGATCACACCAGTGTGATTAGAACATACAGTGCATCCCGTGAACAAGTGCTTAATTCAAATCTGCATTTGGAAATCAAGAAATTCACACAATGTGCTTGTCATAAATCACTATTTATCAGTGTTTTTAAACAAAATAACATTTATTTTAGATTATTTTAGACAACTAAATACACATAAGCACTAGCGAAACTGTTAGGTGTATGGAAAGGAGATTAAGTAAAGACTCAAAAAAAACAAAACAAAAAAAACAACAACAACAAACTACCCTGTGAAGAAATTGCAGGTAAACAGATAATAAAACTTGACTAGACAGGCTGGCTAGATAAGACTGGACAAGGCATACACATGAGGGATGAAAGATGACAGATCAGTCTAAGACAGAGAGCACTGGGAGAATAAATAGGAGCATATGATGGTGAAGCATAAACAGGTGAAATTGACAAACACAAATTGGGATAACAAGCTGAGTGGGTCTAGACAATAGATAGCAAAGCACATGGCACAAAGATACAAAACCAAAAGCCCCTTGAAGCAAAATACAAATGCCACCAGCTACATTTAAACCTGAGTCAAATGCTTCACACAACTCTAACACAAGACTATAGGCTGAATGCAAGACAATAGCCCCTTTCACACATACAGACCTTTCCGGAAAATTACCGGAAATTTTCCGGAAAGGGTGCATGCGTGAACAGGCCCTTTTTGAAAATACCGGTAAATTAGTTCTGGCTATTTTCCAGAAAGAGAAGTTGTAACATTACCGGTTATTTGCCGGAATGCTGCGCTGTATGAATGCAGAAGGAAGATTGCCAGAAAGAACGCCTGCACATCTAGAACGTGCTGACCTGAGACGTCTGCTTTAGCCAATCAGAACAGTCAGACGCATTTAAGTCCGTGCGGTTTATGAGAATAAAAGCCTTTGAATATTTTCCCAGACGCATTTAGCTGCTAGAAGTTAGTCAGATAACGTTTATATGTTCTTCTTAATGCCAACTGTGTAAATCATCATCGATAAGATGCTTATGATAATCCGCTGTTTGTTTACCTTCAAGCTTTGCGTGTGCCTGTGAAACAGCCTGTGAGCGCCCGCACACACACATATTATGAACATCTCGACATGCGAAAGTGATCCTCCATATATTTTCATCGAAGTTGTTCACAATACTGATCATCCACAGAGTTTGTAATGTAGTCAAATGTTTACAAATACAAGCGCAGCCGTTTTAAGCTCATTTGTGAATGATGTCAGAATTTACCGGTATTTTGGAATGAATGTGTGAACAACGCTTTTTTTGAATATACCGTTTAAGCCGTTCCGGAAATTTTCCAGATATTTACCGGTATCACTGTGTGAAAGGGGCTATTAAGTGAACAATAAGTGAAAAAAAAAAAAAAAAAACACGTGCACTGACATATGTGGCATTGATGTTCAAATCCCAGCGCCGAACCAAAATCAAAACCAACTTGACCAAAGAAGCGAGATCGAATACCATGTGAAAAAACAAGTGTGCTACCTGAGTCTGCCCGAGATCCCCAAAAGTCACTATACCAAATGTTGATCGCCAATTATTGATCAACAGTAAAAATTGGAAAATTATAATGCAATAAAGTAATCAAAATTGTTTATTCTCAAAAAGACATGGTGCAAGGGGATCAGCCTTAAAACCAACTGTTGGACTTTGATATGATGTATCAGTCAGACAACGCTGCCACATTTAAATAGAGTTTGTTGTTTACTAGTTGAGGGCATGAAAGAAAGAAAGCAGAGGCAGACACTTGCAAATATGCGCCATTAGCGGAGCAGGCTGAAAGAATTGTTTGAAGAAAGGACAGATCTGGCTGTGTGTTTCTTCCATCGTGTTTCCCCCGCTGAGTTCAAGGCCAAACCAGCAACACGTCTGACTTCAGCATCCATCAGCTGTCAGCTTGCCCAGTCACACTGCTGGTGCTCATTTTTCAGTCCGTAAAAAAAACAAAAAAACATGAGATTCCGATACTAGAAGAAAGAAATGACTGTATCACTCCAAGTACACTTTCCAGTCTCTTGAGATTGTTTTGGTAGAGCTGCAGGATTAAACCTTATGTGATCTTGATCCAAGCACACACCTAATCTCAATTATAAATAGTTAATTGTGATTTGCGAATGTTTATATTAACGAATGGGAATGTGTTATCATAGTGCAATGCGATACACAGCGAATGCCCTTCCAGCTGCAACTTAACACTGGAAAACATCAATACACACTCATTCACACACAAACACTATGGCCAATTAAGCTTATTCAATTTACCTATAGTGCATGTCTTTGGACTTGTGGGTGAAACCAGAGCACCCGGAGGAAACCCACACAAACACACATGCAAACTTCACACAGAAATGCCAACTGACCCAGCCGGGGCTCAAACCAGCAACCTTCTTGCTGTGAGGTGATCATGTGCAATAAAGTATATGTCACAATCACCTGTCATCTACTTGATATGGAACCACAAATCCTGTCATGCACCACACACTCACACCTGTTCTGGTTTCCCACTGATTGCAAACACACAGCTAAAACTATTCATGGACTGATTCAAGGACTCATATATAAACAGCACACACACACACATGCACATCTTTGCTGAGTCTTGTTTATCTGTTAGTGTTACATTTCTAAGCGTTCTTTTTCTAGTCTATCCTGTGTGTTGATCCTCACCTTATCTTCCGGTTATTGATACTTTGCTGCCTGTGTTGACCACTCATCTGTTCTTTGACCACAACTTTGGATTGCTTTGCATTTACCTGTTTGACCCTGTTGACCGCTGCCTTCCTTGACCATTCTTGTAATAAACTGCACGTGGATCCTGTACTCCATTGTCCAGCGTCCATTGCATTATTCAACTCGCTATGACATACATTCCCCATTTTCTATACATTTTGCCAAAGTGTTACATTCAAATATATGTTCGACCCAGAGAGAGCAGTTCTCATGTGTTATGAAACAGCCTTAGTCTTCATTCTTTCCAAACCTGTACTATTATTTCTGTTACAAACAATCAAATTGTTGAAGTACTAAGATGATAATTTATAGACTTAATTAACAAAAGTTAACAAAAAAAGAGCCAAGCAACCAATAAAAATTAAGGTCACACATTTTTTTTTTTTTTTTAGGTTACAATTTTCGCTATTAACAAACTATGACTTTGGGCTTAATAAACTATTTGGTTGCTTGTTATTAATTATTAAGCGTATAGTTATATTTAGGTATTGTGTAAACCATTTCAATGTGGTAATGTTATTAGCCCATGAACATTTTCTGCTTGTTATCAAACTATATCATAACTGTAGCATGAGGCATTTAATCAAAACAGCTATCATAACATTATTTATCAATATGTGGCTCTTTTTGGATTCTCGGAAGCTATAGAAATAAAAAAATGTTAAACAGGAAATATGTTGGGACCATTTCTTTTGTTTACATCCCTCAAAATGGTTTATAAACAGCCAATATCATCATAATAGGGAGGTTAGGGAACTAGTTAACAGTGAGAATTGGTCCCTATAGTATTACCAAAAATAATCTTTCTAAGCAGTAAATATATCTAGTAAATTAGAATCATGGTAAATTGAGACCTATATTTCAAACAAACAAACAAACAAACAAACAAACAAACAAACAAACAAGCAAGCAAGCAAGCAAGCAAGCAAGCAAGCAAACAAACAAACAAACAAACAAACAAACAAACAGCTAAATTAAATGTGTTTATCCAGAATTGTACACCTCATATGTTTCGGTCAACCCTGTGAAACATTTGTCCCAGTGTCGTTTGAGTTTGTGATTTGGCAGCGACCCAAAAGGCAGTGTTTACCTCTACAAGAGAGTTCTGGCCTTCTTTCTCCATCTCAGGCCTTTGTAGACCGACATGAGTGCAGACATGTATCCAAACTGTTTGAGAACAGGCAATCCTCTTTCCCCCTGCACCTCATTGAGCCAGGAAGAGCTGAGAGTAAGAGATGCCAGCCTTTCATGATGACTTCACACTCATCACCCTTGCACTTTGTCCAAAAGTGCAATGGCCAAATAAGGAAGCATCTGTCTTCTGTTTCTCTGGGGCAAAGAGAACATCCACCATCTCTTTGTGAAGGAACAAAGAAAACTGGGATAGTTTTTTTTTTTCTTCCTTTTCAGAGAGTAGTTCAACTTTCTCTTTAACAAGAAACATACTGTTGAAGTCCGAATTATTAGCCCTCTGATTTATTAGCCTCCATGTTTATTTTTTCCCCATTTTATGTTTAACAGAGAGAAGATTTTTTCAACACATTTCTAAACATAATAGTCTTAATAACTGATATTTAATAAGTGATTTATGTTTGCCATTATGACTCTAAGTAATATTTTACTAGATAGTTTTCAAGACACTTCTATACTGCTTAAAGTGACATTTAAAGGCTTAACTAAGTTAATTAGGTTAACCAGGCAGGTTAGGGTAACTAGGCAAGTTATTGTAAAATGATGGTTTGTTCTGTAGACTATTGAATAAATATATAGCTTTAAGGGGCTAATAATTTTGACATCTAAATGTTTTTTATTTTTTTATTAAAAACTGCTTTTATTCTAGCCAAAATAAAACTAATAAGACTTTCTCCAGAAGAAAAACCATTATCAGCCCTACTGTGACAATTTCCTTGCTCGGTTAAACATAATTTGGGAAATAAATTAAATAAACTAATAAATAAAAGGGGGCTAATAATTCTGGCTTTAACTGTATGTATTGCCTTTTTGGTTTAATGATTAGGGTTTTGTTTACATAACATATTCAGCAAATACATACAGTATTAGTATTTTTAATAGTAGCTGATAACTGTGGCAAATTGCATGATTTAAAACAAAAACAAAATTTAGATGTGTATCTTCCTATTGTATTTAATTTTGGATTGATTGATTGACTCTTGTTTTATTTTTTTGCAAGTTTATGCACAAATATAACATAAATTAAATTATATTACAAGATACTTAATATTTACAAAAACTAATATTTATCCCAAAATAAAGAAACAAGAAAAAAGAAACAATAACATTTATAATATTAATAATAAATGTTTCTCAAACACCAAATGTTTATAGTTATTTCTGAAATATCTTGAGGCACTCAAAGCTGGATTGAATAATTCAGTTTTGCCATCATTCATTCATTTTCCTTCAGATTAGTCCCTTATTTATTAAAGGTCACCATAGCTGATTGAACCACAAACTATTCTGAAACGGATGCACATCTTTGCCATCATATGAATAAATATTTTAAGGTATTACAAAAACATGATAATGTTATAATATTTCTTAATTATAATTTTAAATAATACTGTTTTTTATCAAGTAAACACACCTTTGGTGCACATAAGATGCATTCAAAAAATGTACTGTATTTTAATGTATGATTATACTGTGCAGCCTGTTTTGATAAATTTACATCTAATTAAAATAGTTTGACCTCTGTAAATAAATAAATAAATAAATAAATAAATAAATAAATAAATAAATAAATAAATAAATAAATAAATAATAATAAAAAAATAATAATAATAAAATAATAATAAAATAAAAAATAAAAAACTGCAGCAACTGGTGAAAAGTATCATGGTGTGCTAAAACAGTTAACCATTCCAGATATAATCAAATGTAAAATATAAAGACAATAAGTGACTGTTAGAAATGTGTTTGTATTTGTCAATTCAACATTTCTGTGTTCCAAACATCCTCACCTTTGAATCTCTCATTTGTTTCAGACCCTGTGTTCTCTGAGACCTGTAAAATCGATAACAAATTCCTGTCTCTGAACTATCTGGCCAGCTACATCGAGCCCCAGCCATCCACAGGCTGTGTTCTCTCAGGTCCTGATCATGAGCAGGAGGTTCATATCATTGAGCTTCAGGCACCAAACTCCAGCAGGTAAACAGAACACTATTATCCTCTTTATTATATATTAAAACCTATACATGATAGAATATTTCAGCCAGGTAACCAATTTCAGATGTGTACTGCTGGTCTTGAGGGTTTTGACAAGTTAGTACAATTTGCTCATCCCCCAATGACGGTTGGGTTTAGGGGTGGGGTTAGGTGCCACAACTCGACTTTGTACGACTGAACTCAAACAAATTCGTACAAATTAGCCACTAAACTGGCAAAATGTAAAATACTTACATTTTCTCATGAGATCAGGCTGAATAAAACACGTCACATACACACTTTAGAAGAGATTTGATAAAGATAAATGTTGTGCAGATACTGCAAGGTTTTAAAATACAATCAGTTGTCCAATATATATATATATATATATATATATATATATATATATATATTGGCTTTCATTTTTGTTATTATGCTCAGAAAAATTCCTATCAATATTTATATTCATTAGACTGCATATCGGTTATCGTTGGCAAATATAAATAAATATTAGTTATCGCTATCTGCCAAGTTTCCATATTAGTTTTATATATAATATAAAATATACAATTTATTTATTATATATATATATATATATATATAAAATACTGCAATGAATTCCTCGCTTTGTTAAACATAATTTGTGAAATATTTGAAAAAGAAAAAAAAAATTTTAGAAGGTCTAATAATTTGAACTTCAAATTGGGCTTTAACATTATTATTTTAATTTGGACTATTTTTTAAATAATGTTTTACTGTCTGTTTGATCTGTCACATCCTAAATGAAGGCATCAGAAATTTTACCAACCCAAAACTTTGTCATGGAAGTGTATGTGATTTATTTTAGCGTTGAAAATTAACAAATAAAGTTCCTTTCCAGAGATCCATTTCAAAAAGAGGAAGTTCAAATTAGTGTATATAAAATGTGTTGTTGAACATACATTGCAGACAGAATATCTCAGTGCATATGGGTTTGTTTACTACACCAAATGATTGTATACATGTATACCTCTCTCTATTTGTCATTTCAGGTTGTCATTGTGTTTCCTTCAATTTTGCAAAGTTTATTTGGAAATAGGCAGGAATCATTGTATTGTTGATTTTGGAGAGCTATGCTGGATAAAACTCTCTCAGCCTCCAACGGTATCACTCACTGTTGCCTAATAGTGACTCAAAAAAATCAGAACAGATCTTAAGATATGCAAGCGTCAGGACGGATCCCAGCACTGCATTATGTGGTCTGTTTCACATGTGTCCAGGGTTGTTTTCTAGGAATCAATCCAGATTTTTAATCAATTGGCCAGACAAAGAATGCATGTTAAAACTGAAGTTTCATTTTTTCCAAGATACATATGACCTTCCTTTCATTGCCTCCCTCTCTCTCTCTCTCTCTCTCTCTCTCTCTCTCTCTCTCTCTCGCTCTCTCTCTCTCTCTCGTTCTTCCTCATTCTCTCTCTGAGTAGTGCATTCCAGGTGGATGTGATTGTGGATTTAAGGCCTCTGGATGGTGACATTCCACTTCATCGTGACGTCGTGTTGCTTCTGAAATGTGAGAAGTCAGTGAATTGGGTGATCAAAGCCCACAAAGTCATGGGCAAACTGGAGATTATGGTATGATTTATAAATTATACACATAGAAAAATATATGAGTTTTGTTTATTTATATTATTAAATGAATTTTAGAGCTTTGTTACATACAGTATATACTAACTAATTCATTTAAATGTGTTTGTTTGTTTGTTTGTTGTCATGAGGCGATTTTTCTCATCAAAATTACTTTATGCTGCTTTAATTAATTTTAAAACTAAAAATATGGAAAATGAGACTGTTAAATATAATAATACTTCCTGTAAGACATATCTGTTACTAAAAGTTTCTGCATTTTGTGATTCGCAAGTGTTTTCTGTTTATTTAGGGTTGTGAATTGCATTATAGAATGTTGATCTGTGCTCTGACAACTTCTGATGTTGAAAATTAAACTCTTGAGTTTAACAAAGTTATTTTGACTGATATTTTAAAAATGAGTCTGAAATGATACCATGTATAAAAATAATTTATAGAGAAATAAGTCTGTAAAATGACAAAAAAATTTACTGACGGTTTATTAAAAAAATTTTGTACTGTAATATACAGCACAAACACAGACATTATATCACTTTAAATTATTAAAAATGTTTATAAAAGTCACTTTTTTGAGATTTAAAGTTTTTGGAAGAAAGATTAATCCCAAATTGTCCCATAATGCAATTCAAAAGCAAAAAAAAAAAAAAAAAAACAGGGAAAAATTTAAAAATAACAATAATAAAAATATAAAAATAAAAAAACGGCTTATCAACGGATATCTTTTACAGTGTACATTATTGTACAAAGTCTTGCATAAACAATATTATTCATTCATTCGTTCATTCGTTCAATTAAAAGTACATTTTCACCAAGTCAAAACTTATTTAATTTTGTTAATGAAACACTAAAATAATTTAGAAAAAAGCAGCCAATAGTCCATTCATCAGCATCTCATGATCTGTCAGAAATAATAATAATAATAATAATAATAATAATTGCATAAAAAACTACTTTTTATTGTTTATTTTATTTTATTTTATTTTATTTTATTTTATTTTATTTTATTTTATTTTATTTTATTTTATTTTATTTTAGTGAAATAAAGTGAACGATGTCTCTTCTGGCCTGTCATTAGACGGAGTAATAACAGAAGGAGGAGTGGAGTGAGTTTTTCTTCAGTCAGAGCCGCTGGAGTGTTTTTATTGTAGCATTGGCCTGGCACTTCAGAATATGAATTATGAGAGCGTCTGGCTGCTGGTTTCAGACAGCACAGCACAACAGCAGACACACACACACACACACTACTGAAACTGTCACTGCACTGCACAGCTCCTGGAGTGAGACTTACTTATGCTCCATGGAATTTATCTAAATATTTGTGCATTTCTTACTTGCTGCGTATTAGAAAAAAAAAAAAAACTGTTTTAAGGATGTCACACTATTTTGAGGAGTTTTAAGATGTTTATATGATGTTTTTTAGGTGTTTATTTTTTTCTGAGCTAGAGAAAAGTAATGCAGTATAAATGCAATCTGATTATATTTCATTTATAAATTCATTTCTACACACAAATATAGACATCAAAAGAGTGCAGTAGACAACATTTTCTTTTAAATAAAAATAATAAATAAGGAAATAAATGAATAAGGAAAATAAGTGAATAAATAACTAATTTAAATAACATGGAATACAAATATGTAACGTACAGTAAATTGACAGGTTGTCAGTATTTTTCCCCATTTTGTTTTGTTTTCTTTAGTTTTTTAATTTCTTTATTTTTTATTTTATCATTCTGTGCAATCAAATATTTTATATATAATTTATCACTTTATTCCAGTAGTAATCTATTTCATATTTAATTGCTGCTCTTAAAAAGACCCACTGATTCAGCTAAATGAAAGCCTAAATATAGAAAAAAAATTATGATATTCTTTTCATAATTACTGTACTTGAAGAAAATTGAATACAAATATGTAATGTATAGTAAATTGACAGGTTGTCAGTATTTTTCCCTATGTGTTTAGTTTGCTTTATTTTCTTTATTTCTGTCTTTTTTATTTACAGTAGTAAGTATCCATACATTCAGTTAAAAATTTTATTTATAATTTATCATTTTATTCTTGTAGTGGTCAGTTTCATATTTAATTGCTGCTTTTAAAATGCCCCACTGATTCAGCTGTCTGTACTTTATGTTAAAGCGTAAATATAGAAAAAATAATGATTTTTTTTTTCCTAGAAGAATTTTATTCTTGTTGTCCTTAAGCGTCAGGACGTGGACGTACTGGGTGACTGTTTTCGCACATTTCAGTGTTTACGGTTAGATTACATAAAAAAGAACATGAGTAATTTTGACGAACTATACTGTACATCATTTTTAAGCTACAACTCTCATGCAGCCATTGTAGCTAGTTGTTTTTTGTTTGTTTTTTTTTTGATGAGAAGCTTATAAAGAATGCATTTGCTAAATGTGTGCCAGTTGCACACAAAACACTTATTAAATATGGAGTGCATATCATCTTAATAACAACACACACAGACATTCATTGCTGTACATCACAGTTTATTTTGAAAGGTAAGAATCCTCAGAACAACATCCCAACAAACACATTCAGTCCACTGTTGAATTATAAATGGTTATTCATTTGTTTATGTTGCCCCAGTACAGCTCAAAGTGTCTTCTTTCCAATGATACCTGATTTATGTTTATAGCTCACTGAGGTCAAGAACTGTTGCTATTTAAAGTTGGGTAGGTGTAAATCTCCGCCAACTTATCCAGCATATGTTTTACGCAGCAGCTCATCACTGGGAAACATCCATAGACAATCATTCACACACATATACTAGCTTACCCAATTCACATATACCATAGGTCTTTGGACTGTTGGGGGAAATCGGAGCACCCGGAAGAAACCCACGCGAACACGAGAAGAACATACAAACTCCACAAAGAAATACCATCTGACCCAGCGAAGGATCGAACTATTGACCTTCTTGCTGTGGGACAATAGTGTTACCCACTGCACCACCATGACGCCCATTCACAAATCAGTATTTGTACATACATTGAATTAGAGTGTATCAGTTTCAAGTTGACTTGTCCATTTCAAATATGAACAAAGTGCTATAAACGAACGAAGAATGCACATACGTAAATTCGAACAAACGAACGACTAAAACTAAAAAACCTTAAAGAAAGAAAGAAAGAAAGAAAGAAAAAAGGAAAGAAAGACAGTTTGATACCGTTGATCTAGATGTGCAAGTAAAACTATTTTGAGCACAGTGTTCTTGTTTTGTACTATAGTGTGCTATCATTGGCAGTCGAAGAGTCGTAAAGCTGTTGATAGAATTTTAATGTGAAAGTCCTAAGTGTGTGAATGTGAACGATTATAACGCGTCTGTCTCCATGAATGTGTGTGATTGTACATGTCTGTGTCTGAGTGAGTCAGTTACAGTGTTTTAGAGCGTAGGAGAATGTAAGTTATGCATGTGATACGATCCACAGCCTTGTAAAATCAAAGCCCTGCTACTGTTGGCAGATTGGCTTAAGCTGGTTGTCCAGCCTGGTGAGGCATTTATGAGAAACAGAGCTGAGAACGAGGGCCATCTGCTCTTCACACCCAGCAGAGAATGAACAGAAGCTCATTTATACTTCCTATATAAACTGACCACAATAAACTGGTCAAATGTCATCGACAACAACCCCATATCTGACTGTGTTAAAAAGGTAATCTAATTACAGTTTTTCTCAGTAGCTTCGGGAAATTTCTCAGATCAGAATTGAAATTTGCAAAACAGTAAGTGCATTTCTCAAAACATTGTAAAGAAATAGCAAAACACTATGGTTTACCTCCAAAAGCCAGTCTCCTGCTAAAAATACTTAGTTCATCTCTCAAAACTAAATTTGTGTATCAATGAACAAGTCAGTGCCGTCAGAATTATGAATACTTGTGTCATCGTGTATGGATAAGACAGTCAAATTACTTAGTCATACTGCCAGTACTACAGTTTAATCTGGAGGGTGTGTTCTGGTGTGAACGATAGTAATTTGTTGACATATGTCATTGTGATACAGAAAGGAATAGACAACACAGCATAGCACACAGAAAAATAAAAATAGAAATGTGAACATAGGACAACCTCGTTTTAGACCTCCATTAGAAAAGTCAAGATTTACTTGGGAGATATTTACCAATTGTAAAAAGATTTAAAATAAAAAAGTCTGATGGAAAATGTATAGAACAATGTGCTATGACAAAATATTATGACAACTTGTTCAGCCATTTTTCATGTAAAGACTTATGCCATGAACAATGGATTATATGCTGTGGGGGTGAGACTACTCAACAGAGACCAAAATAATACATTTTGATCAACATGGAATAAGCAAGAGAACTGCACATAAACATTTGCAAGGATTTACAAAAGCATTTGCAACTTAAAAAAAAAAAGAATGAGTAACTGATTTTCTGATGTGCACAAGTGACACCACGATGTGAAGATTGAAAAGGGAGCTTTGAGAATTTTAATTCTGATCTTAGAAATGAACCAACGTGACTGAGAAAATAAACTGTAAATAATGTTATTACGTTTCATATTGAGCATGTTGTATACTATACAATTATCTTATAGTGAATATAGGCTATGTATTTTGGTGCATTTAAACTAAAAAGAAATATTCATTAAAATAACATTTAAGTTACCAAACATATTGAAAAGATAAAACAATTAAATTCAAGCAAAATATTGTTTTTTTTTTGTTTTAAATTTTTTTTGCTTTTCGTGATTTTTTCCTTCTTTTGTTTTTTTTTTTGCATTTAATATTTTTCTATAACTTATAAATTTGAGTATATTCGTTTTTGGACCAATATCTTAAGTTATTTTGTTAGATAAGCTCCAGATTTGGCTTCAGTACTGACTAATCTAATGTATATACACAAATATAATACTGTATAGCTTCCTATTAAAAAAAAAGAGTTTAGATGTTTTTTTTTCTTTTAAATAGAAATATAGCCATATATAGTTTTTATAGAGTCAGTCCAAATAACAAATGTTGTTTATAGTACTAAATATAAATTTATTGATTAATTGATTAGTTATTCTGCTATTAAAACATTGCTATTGTGTATAATAAAATAAAAAACAAATAAAAATTTAATAAATGCATTTAATAATAATAATAATAATAATAATAGTAATAATAATAATAATAATATGAATAATAATAATAATGACCAAATGTCTCAAACTTTGGCGCTTTCGTCATTATAAAACTTGTCATTATAAAACATTTGGAAGAAATGTCACTATAGTTTGCAGAATACAACAAATGTTTTTACAAAAAACTTTACCTCATTACATTACTCTTTTTGGCTGTTTTACTCAGTTTGACTCATTACATTAAATAAACACACACTTAAAAATCATAAATAGAGGGAATTAATGAATTCTCTGTAAAACAATTCCTGTCATAAAACCATTTCAAACACATCATTATTTTATTCTTTTTTGGTGACTTTGTGTGAGCATTAAACCACAATTAAGGCAATTATGAATGACTTTTGATGGTAATCTACCCCTGAAAAAAATAACATTGTTAGTTATTTAAACTCATGTGTGTTTTCTCTTCACTGGGGGTCAGCTCTAGCAGTTTGATTTAAAGCATACGTTATTTATTTTTTTTATTCTTTCTTGGCTAACTTTGCTTTACTTCCATTTGGAGTTTGGCAAGTGGTCATTTTGGATCGTAAAATCAGGTATTTGACCAAAATATGTTGTCAGAGAAAACATGAGAAACCATGGCTTATGTTAAAAGAGTTGTGAAACCAAGTTGAATAGGAGTTAAATCGTTTTGACTGTGCACATGGAGTGAATATGTTGTCTTGTTCTTCTTAGACATCAGATACGGTCAGTCTGAGTGAAGACACAGAACGGCTGATGCAGGTGTCAAAGACGGTCAAACAGAAACTGCCCGCGGGGTCGCAGGCTCTCATCCAGTGGGCCGAAGAAAACGGATTCAATCCCGTCACTTCATACACCAACACTCCTGTTGCCAATCACTTCAATCTGCGCCTCAGAGAACAAGGCAAGTGAAATATTTGAATAATATAAACCTAAATTATTATGACACACTCAAAAATGTATTTTGTTCGGATTCTTAAGTTTTTTGGGAGGACAACGTAATTGTTTTATGTTGAATCCACCTAAAATTGAAAAAAAAAAAAACAATTAAGTTAACTTAATTGATTTGTGTTGGGACAACTTGATGGAACTTTTGTGTGGAACTAAATGTGTGGAATTAATGTGTATAAAATATCAATAAGGTTAAATAGCTGAATGTACTAAAATATTAATCTGATAATACACACACTAGCTGTGCTCCAAATAGAATTAATTTAATAAAGTAAATTTGTATAACATAAGATTTCATTTGATTATTTATTGGTTATTACTGCAGTTCACATTTACAATAGTGCTGTTTGTCTATTGTATAGTCTTTCTAAAGAAGGAAATTCTGGTAACTAAATCCAAAAATACTTTTTAATAATTATAAATTTTATAGACCCCCTAGTTTTTCACGATTTTGCAATAAAAACGACTGATTTTGTGGTGGTAATTATAAGAAATTTGCTAAGAGTTTAGCAGTTAAAAACATGCATATATAAATATAAAAAATATATATGAAAATCTTATTTACCATATTAGGTGGCCTACTTTGTTAGGTGTGCAGCCTGACACAATGATTAAACTAAATAACTTGGACTGACATTTTCCTCTGCCTCTCACTAATCAATTTAAAAATGTAGTTGAGTAAACCCCTCATCTAAAAATCATCAAATGCTTTCAGTTTCAGATGTGGGGATCATGGATGAGGGAATGTTGCCACCATTTTCCATTCTCCGCAACATCAATCCACTTCCAAAGCCCAGCGCCCGGGATGCTCCTCCACGGAATGGTTTTCCTTTCCCCTTCCTGCCTATGGACCAGGACCAGTCATTCCCTCCTTTGATGCCCCCTCATGAGGATAGTGTTTTTCTGGCTGGGGGCCCCGAGGAGCACCAGGGGTCTGCAGATGTAGGATTCAATGTGCAGTGTGAGAAGAACAAAATGGTAGTCAGCATTGATAAGGAAACTCTACAGGTAGGAAGTACACAAGTACTCTAGGTTTTGTACATGTAGTTACTGGGATATAAAAATGAACTAAAGGTCGTGGGATTAACCTAACATATGTCAGTAGCTCTTACATTTGTGCCTGTTATGCTCAAAGCTGCAAAAAATACAGGAGTAAACAATAATACAGTGGAATTTCATTAGAATTTTACATGCTTGCTTTTAGTTTTATTACATTTACATATAACATTCATTACATTGTTATATTGCATTGCTTTTTAGGTTTATACCTGTAGTCATTACTCCACCAGGCTTCAATGTCATAAAATCATTCAGAAATAATAGCTGTGTGCTGACTTGATAAATAAGTCAAATGTGTTAAATAAATTGCTTTTATCATATGAATGTTTACAAAAGCTGCTTAATTGTTTTGGAAACTGGGTAACACTTTATAATAACTACACACTATAAATCATTTATTAAGCATTAGCAAATAGTGAATTCATTATCTGTTCAGCATTAACTCTACATTATTAGACATTAGTAAGCAGTTTATAAATACAGCAAAAAATTCTGTATTTTTGACTTGTAAGCACATATTTAATATGATTAATTATTATATTTTATACTTCATTACTTATTAATTTTTTAGTACGAAATTCAGTATTGCATTATTTACGAACCATTTGTATCATTCAAAGTGAGAATCATGCAAAGTCTGATAGTAAATGATTAAACTATTCAAATGAACATTTATATATTTTATTATTCAGGCACATAGTAATGGTTACAATGCATGTTAATATATGCTTTATTAACTCAACTTTATCCAGTTAAAGATAAACAATTGATCTAAAGTGACAACTATTTATGCTTTATAAATCCCTTATAAATGACAATTAATGGTTCAGTATCAAATGAAGAATAAATGTTTGCAATCTTATCTAACAAATAAAATCACCGTAAACTTTAAACATTGCCAAATAACATGAGTGTCAAACTGCAATTATAAATAAATGCATTTAAATAAAATCAGATGAAACAACAACAATATAATAATTTAACAATATATTATGATACAACATTTTAAAGTTATTTAACAATGTTCAAACTCTGCATTCATTTGACTTTAGATAAGATTGAAAATATTTATTTTTTCATTTGATACAGTTTTATTTGTGTATCTTCAAATAAATAGAAATGAATAAAGTTTTTTATGTTCTGTTTGTTTTCCTGTTTATAATGTAACTGAGCCTTTAATTGTCATTTAGAATGGATTTCTAAAGCATAGTTCTCACTTTAGATTAGGTCATAAAACTGGATGAAGTTGAATAAATAAAGTGTTTATTAACATACAAATTAACTATTAGTATATATGAATGTTGATGTGAATAGTTTATTATTAATTTACTTATGCATTCTGAATTATCTTAAAATAGCATCAACTATTCCTAAATAACTAGTTTGTAAATAAGGCAACACTTAATTAATAAAAAAATAATTATTAACTAAGTATGAAATTACAATAATTAAGCACATTATAAATGTAAAAAATAGCATTTATTGTATTTAAAAACTGTTTAATAACTTCTATTAATGTAGAGTAAATACTTAAGAGATAATAAATTTACTATTTGCTAATGCCTAATAGATAATTTATAGTGTGTAGTTGTTATAAAGTGTAATAGTTTTTTTTTTTTTCAATTATGGTGTTCACATTAAATGCGAAGATAAAACAAATCTTGTCTCTTGCTTAAGATTACACACAGAATGTTTTTCCTCTTATGCTAACTTTCAACTTGAGTTGAACTTCTATGGAAGACATCATTTTGGCAAATATTGTGCGTTCAATGTAAAATTTGCACAGTCCAGTGGAAAGTCATCTTTATTTGCATGTGTGCATTGATTTTTTCATTGACTTTGCATTAGATTTGAACCTCGCTTTTGATGAAAATGAAGTTCAAAAACATGGATTTTGTAAGAGATTTTTAAAACTATTTCACTTATTATTTTTAATGCATCAGTAATGCATCCAGATCTGTTTTAAATCAGATGACATAAATAAAAATCACAAAAGACCAGCATAGGCCTTTTGACTTTGGTCTATTTTTCTCCAGTTTATGAACTACTGAGTCAAAACTACTTGTGTAAAAGTATCTATAAGTTTAAAAGTTATCTATCTATAAGTTATTAAAGTGTTAAAAAGAACAAAATAAGTCATTTCTAAATGTATTGTTACCCATATATCACACAGATTTAGGACTTAATTCTGTTGACAATAAGGCAATAGGTTTAAAGCTTCCCTAACACTAGTAAGAACAAAAAAAATTGCTAAAAAGTGGCTCACGAGAGACACCTCATTTGTTCTCAAGTTGATGCACAATGAATTTTCCCAGAATATGTGTGCCATATGCACTGACGTCAAAAGCCAGAAGTGTTGTAATAAACCACTTCAAAGAGGAAAATAAAACCCATATTCTACAGTTATAAAAAATAGCAGATTTAGACCACAAGTTTTGTTTGTCACTGTTAGAACTCTCACAGTGGATCTCAGATTTCGACATCAATATTTCAGTGAGTGATAGCTTTTATTCAACATGTTATCAAAGGTCAAGATTTACCAATTTATGTTTTCCCAATGTCCTCATAGGCCAATGGGTTTGGAAAACCCAATATAACTCTTCAGGACTCACAATGCAAAGCAACCTCAAACGCCACCCATTATATACTGGAGACGCCTCTGTCTGGCTGCCAAACCTCCAAAATCCCCTCGCACCCCAGCCCAGTGGTCCTCTACATCAATGCAGTGAGTATTAAAGCCAATATTCAATCAATATAATCAGCCTGTGAAATCTAGTCCTTGTTTGCTTTGCTTTTGTCCAATGTGTGCAAGTGTCCAGGGTCATTATAGGAGCGTTGTCCCCTCCAACAGATTTTTTTTTATGTTTCTTCTTCTTCACATATGTGTGTTGTTGTTGTTGTTTTTAACAGAAGGGAGGATTCACTTCCACGCTGATCCTCTGTGATAATTTGTAACGGAAATTCCTAACAACACTTTTAGCCTTAAACCCATTATAAAAACCGGGCGACCTCCCAAATATTTATCCTTTGCTCTGAACTCTAAACCTCAAGGGCAATTAAAGCGATGTGACCCATTTGGTCAGAGCACAATATTGGCTCGCAGACAGAGATCCAGAGAGCATCAAAGGAGGCTGTTGTCATTACAGTGACAATCCTGTAACAGATTGGCTAGTCTTGTGTGAATTGATTTCACCATTTAATCTCCATTCGACTATGTTCACAGGCCTCCTCCACCTCTGAACCCAAAAACTGTCCTGAACTCAGAAAGGGAGGCGACTCTCATATTATAAAGTGAATGGGTTGCTGTTATTTTTTTCTGATGAGAAAAAAGATGAGATTTTTTTTTTCATCTGCCTTTGGGAGTCACATTGCTGAAATTGTGCATTCCCATGTATTAAATCCAGCTTTCTCATCTGTCTCAGCAGACCTTTGGCAAATATACAGCTCGGTTATCTCTGATTGTATCTTCACTAAGCCCCAGAGTGAAGCAATGTCATCGCAAAGGATTATTTTGTGGAAGATATTGTGTGATTGTTAGGAATTGTTAGAGTTACCCTGCCTTTTTATTGATGTAAATGAAGACTGTCTTTGATTAACAGATTGTTATTAGCCAATCAGAGCAGAAAGATGGAAGTGGCTGGCCTGTTGATGATGAAGATATGGAGCCTGGAGAAGTTTTATTACCTGGAGATGCATTACCGGAGCTCACAGAACGAATTTTACCAGTAAACGGACATCATGCGACTATTTTGGTATCTACTGCCACTTTTTTGTCAAAAAATTCATTGGTTTTCAGGGAACAAAGTAGAATTACAATAGTTAATTGGAGAAAAAAAATAATAAAAATTAAAAACAAATAAATAAATAAAATAATATCAAACAACAACAATAATAATAATAATAATAATAATAATAATAATAAAAATACTGATTATAATAAAAGTTTTTCTTAAAAATATTACATTTAACTGTTGAAATGGGATTTGTTACATTATTTAGATACCACCACAGTACATTTTAATATGCATATTGTTGTAATTTGAAAAGTACATAATAAGATAACCATAGCAGGCATTGTATATTTCCCACCTTGACAGTTCTGTTTAGACCTGTCACTTACATTGAAGATGCATGTTCATGTTTTCAAATTTTCTCTATCTCTGATTTCAGTTCAACTGCACCTACCGCAAGAACCAGGACAGTCCATTTGACACCGATGCTGGATCTGATGATTTTCTTGTAGACTCTACAGCCAATGTAACCTTCAACATGGAGCTTTATAACAACCACTTCCAGTTCCCCAACAGCCAGCCGTTTCTCACAGTCACTGAGAACAGACCTGTCTTTGTGGAGGTAAGCATATGCATATACTATAACATTCTGATGGTAATTTATAGATTGTTGATTCATTGTTGTATAGTATCAAATGCAACATGTGCACTAGCATTTAAATGTTTGGCATTGTAAGATGATATAAGACTGTAAAATTTGTTTCTTTTTTCTTCTTTGAAGTCACCATGGTTGCATTTATTTTTATAAAAAAAGTATGTCAAAATGACATTTACATTTAAGATTTGATTAGTGTTTTAAACTGTGATATATGTTAAATTGATTGATGCAAAGATGCCTAATGATCAGTGAAGCAGTGATCCTGAATTTTATATTTCTTAAAATGAAACCATGCAGAAACCGTGTTGCATACATTCAGTATGTGCATCTGTATTTGATGGGAATTATCCCTTTGGGGTTCTAGAAAACCATTTCCAAGCCTGTAACCACATTAGGAGTCTAATTTAATAATTAAATGAGAAACCATACACACAAATATAGACACTGCCTAAAGCTATTGAAATACAAGATCTGCTTTTTCCCTTTAACCATAGTGTGTGCTTCTCATTTTGGATGGGTTCATGTTTTCAATACCCAAAGTGCCTGGTTTCATCCTGTCTAATCAGACATGTCTTGAGCATGTGAGATTTTACAGCTGCAGAAATGCACACATTTATGGATGTCTCTCGCTGTCTATTGCTGTCTGTGAAAGATATCTGCACTCTGTTCTGTGTGTACATTTTGTCTGGACTGTTTGCCTGCCATGTTGATATTAATCAGTGGGGTTTTAAGGGGAGCTATGCAGACAATATTTGATCTCAGGTCTCCACTTTATGAGCGGGCCTAAAGTCAAAAAGATTTTTTACTCAACCTAAGGTTAACATTGTATTGTATAAGAAAACATCAATATTTTACTTGCTTTAAGGTGTCATAGAGTAAAAATCTGAATGAACTAAAATGGCCAAATAAGAAACGACATACCACGAGCATCAAACACCATTATTTCCTCATTCTCATGTAAACCTTGTAAGCGTGAAATGCCATTGAAAAAAAGGCCAAACGGAACAAAACACCAACTGTTACGTTGCACTTGGGATTATTAAGATATACCCAGGTTGCATTTGATTAGCCACAATGTTTCCTAGTGAGATTACAACTTTTAGAATTATTCTCCTTATTTTTAAGTTTACCTAAGCTTGTATTAAACATATTATGTATATAGGATTCTTAATGTGTAAACAAGAACGACAGGAAGAGTTAATGAGTAAGAATAAAAGTGTCTCTTCTGATCAGAATACAAAATGCTGGATATACAGATTATATATTCAATCAGCCTCACTTCAAAAACTAACAAGATAAGTTTAAATGTGTCTTTGGTTATTTTAATGTGAATATTTTCACCATTCCAAATATGGTCAAAACCATGCTTATCTATGTTAATTGTTGCGGTTAAAAATAGTAAATATATTATTATTGTAATATTATTATTATTATACTGACATTATTGGATTGGCACTAATCAGACATTATTATATTTTATAATGTATGAACTTTGCAGTATAAATTGTTTTTGACTTAAACTGACGCAGCATTAAATTATACATTAAGCTGAATAATGACTATTGTCTTCTTTTACAGTTGATTCATAACTGAAATAGAATTTTTTTTATAATTAATGATTTTTTTAATTATTATTGTTATGCTTGTCACTGTATTCTATAAAGCCATGTATAGATAAATGTAACTTGAATTGTAAGAGGACTCACTCAAAAATACAAATTCTGATAACATAATTAAAACATAGTTCAAGGTTATGTAGTGCTTGAAGAATTAATGAAGTAATTTAATATAAATCTTCTTTTATATTTATTTTATGCATGTGTATAGTAAAATTTGTCATGCTAACTTCCTGACACTTTTGTAACCCAATATGCTGCTCAAATTTGAATAAATAATTTTGCAATATACTGTAAGCTCAGTGAGGTCCAGAATGTAGGATTTTCAGTGGAAAATGACTGTGAGTTTGGACTGTGTGACATCCCATTGCCACTGTAAATCTATGTTATTTATGTATGCTACGCATTATGATTTCATCTGTCTACCTGGAAGACTGGACCTCTCTCCTGACTTTGACACCCCCTTGGCACAGTTACATTGAGGAAAAGGGATGTGATGTTTTTAGTGGCAGCTCTTGTCTGTCATGCATGCTTTTACAGCATCAGATGGCCAAGCTTTCCTGAATGATTCTTAAAGATTTATCTGAGGCACAGAAAACTGACGTCAGAATTTGTGATTGTTGGAATGGTGACCGCTCTGACTGTGTTTTTTTAGACAGTGTGCCGTGTTAAAATAAATTGACAGTGTCCACGCGTTATTTGCTGATTTGAACTGATGCCGAAGAGGGTTTGAGGAAAAAAAAAAAAGTATATCTCAGAGCGATCAAAAATATAGACTCTTTTTATCTGCCAGAACTTTAGACATAAACTACAGGATGTATTGTAAGCATCATTCTGCTGATCCTGCTCATACTATATGAATCATGTTCTATACTTGTGAAAAATCACCAAAAATAGTTGTATTAATCAAGCTTTTCTTTCTTTTGCTTTTTGTCTTGCTGTCATCCTCTTTTATTGTTTGCAGCAGATGCTTTTTTTCCCCTGTGAAATACAGTATGACTTTTTCTTTATTAACAGAGATGTGATGTTTCTCTGCAGATTGCAGCCACAAAAGCTGACCCCAACCTTGGCTTCATGATCCAGACCTGCTTCATATCTCCAGACTCCAATCCTGCCGTGCAGTCGGAGTATGTTGTCATAGAGAACATCTGTCCCAAGGATGACTCTGTGGTCTACTACCCTCAGCGAGGAGATTTCCCCATTCCTCATGCTCAGATGGACAAAAAACGCTTCAGCTTCACCTACAGATCAAAGTTCAATGTGTCATTGCTCTTCCTGCACTGTGAGATGTCGCTCTGCTCCAGAAGAAATGACAAGGAGATGAACCTGGCCGAGGTAGAAACCATCAATTAACATTTCTGTTGTTCTAATATCTTGTGAACTCACTGATGTAGCATTGTAGTAAAGAAACAAAACAAAAAATTGCATTATGGGGCCTTTTAAGCTACTTTGTATCTTCAAATTATTTACTGGGTTACTACATGTGCTTGAAATCCTTTACAATTCTGAATTTTAATAATTCATAATAATTCATGCAAGTTAATACACTTAAAAATATATTTCTTTTGGTAATCTTCACTGAAAGTCTGACCATTTGCTTCTGTGTTTGGAAATAGCGGTCCTTCTGTTGACGTCAACCTGAGGGATTCCATAGTAACTTCATATTAATGCCCTCTTATGCTGTAAGTTTCCTATGAGAAACTGAAGCACTAAAGGAGCTCCGCCCTCTACTCAATGTTCCGTTTCAGCTGAAAGTACATTAATTACTGAAATAAAAGTCTCAGCAACTTCCGGTTCATGCAGACCTTTTTATAGTGTTTGAAATGTGCTTAGATTTTGGACAAAGCACTTGAAACTACTTGAAAATGTAAATTTGTTGCTTTTTCATAATAAATTATCTTACTAAATTGGTAATAATAATTACATATATAAATAAAATCTTAATAAAAAGATTAAATTAAAGTAATTTAATGTTGGACTTGGGGCAAACATGCCGTCAAACTGTTTTCCTAGAATACTAGTCTGTAATATAGATTATTAGGTCCCACTTTATATTAAGTGCCCTAACTAAACTGTACTTACATCAAAATACTAATGAAGTGTGCTTAATGTGTTCATAATGTATCGCAGAACCCTTCTGGTGCTCTTGAGAAGGGATACAATATGACTAGGGAAAGGATTGGTGGTATGGGTAGATTTATGGGTAGGCGAAGGGATGGTCAACAGTGTAGTTATATTGGCTTGAGAAAGCTTGAGAAAAGCCAACATACTGTTATACTATGTCGTTAAAAACAAAGGTATCGCCTCCTAGGCCGTTCATACTACAAGGCCTAAATTTAGTCAAAATGTGCCTTCTGCATTCAAGATTGGGGCTATGTCTCCTGATACCAATCAGACGTATTGTTTTTAAATAAAAAAATAAAGATTAAATTTTAATAATCAGGGCATATAAAAAATCATTCAAGCCCCAAATTTGGCCAAAAGCTGTGTTCTGCTTTTGATTTTGTTGTTCCGTTTTTTTTACTGACATGGCTAGCCATTTTTGCATGCATCACTTTCACATATAAGCATTAAGCCTTATATTTTTAATAAAATATGGCAAGCCATTTTTACCTAATGTCCAAGTCCAGTTTTTGATTGTCATAGGCACTGTCATAGAGACATCGGGGGTTCAGTTATACAGTATCACTCATATTGGCAAAACTCTTTGATGTATCATTACTAAGCTGTCAACTGTCTCCATAGAAAAAAAAAACAGCTAACCTTGCAACCTTTTAAAAACAGAAATATATCTACCCCAAAACATTGTAGGGACCTGGGTATTGGCTCGTTTACCTCATGCTAGCCAGTGGGACTTTCTATGTACTATGCATGGTAACAGTGATAAGCCAAGTGCTTATAACGATTAGCTACATGCTATTAATGATTATCTAAGTGCAATAACATATGCTAGAAATGCATTTAATCAAATTAGCATTTGATCAAACATTTACACGAGCGGTACCATTTAGCAACTGCTAATCAACCACCTAGCAATGCCATAAACATTTTAGCAACTTCCTAACAACCATTCAGCAACCGCTGTGCTTGCTGCCAACAGCCATTCTCAGCCATTCCTAGCACAGTCACGTTGGATTTCTCAAGCCAACATCAAATTTCATCAAAAAACGTTGTTCTAGTTTCAAATGTAATTACAGATGTAAATACATGCAGGTATTTAACCAGTCATATGTACAATGTAAAAACATGTATTTGCACAATAAGTACATTCCAACCAATTATTATTTATCAGTGTAAGTACTGTACATATTAGTTAAGGCCACTTAATATAAAGTGGGACCAAATACTATAACAAATACCGATATATTGTGATGAAGTACATGTGTATGTACATAAATATGTGAGTTTTCAAACTTAAGTATTTACGTTTAACTTCAGAAAGCAGCTCCAAATATATCATACAAGATATATCATACACAGAGATGGCAATCTCAGTGAGAAATAAGGTTATGTTTCATTTTGATGGTCACATTTAGCCATTCTGTTTCCTCTATAAGTACTGTGATTTACTAAGGACTGTGTGCTACAATGTACATGCCAGCTTACTAAAATATAAGTGTAGTTTGGTTTTCTTACTTAGATTGTTTAGACAAGTGTAAAAGTGCCATATTTAGGCAGTTTTTAAAGTTGCACTAGGTATTGGAACACATCTTTTCTCATCTTCATCTATTTTCATTATCTCTCACACATTTCTCACTCATTAAAATGTTAATGGCTTTGTATTATTTATACAAATCTTTAGAGATGACCCTGTGATGACAGAACTACAACACACATCAAATTAAATTTATTAGAATAAACCAAAACTGTATTATGTTTCACACAATCAAGCTAAAAATCAACCAACCATTTCTAGAGTCAAAATAGAATGCACTGCTGTATGTTTGTTTGCTTCCAGGCTGCACAGGGATATCAGTTATGTCATTAAATCACAGCACAGGCGCACAGATAACTTATTGACCCTTGCACATATTTTTAGAGCCGTTACTTTATTATATGGATAACACGAACACACTCTTTAATTCATTTATATAGTCTGTTTGACATTGCTGTCCATCCTAAGAGTTGCTGTTGGATTCATTGCCTTGGCACAGGTCGCTCTCCACCAGCTGCTAGCATCAATCCACTCTGTGTGAGTGCGGGATACGTAAATCTCAGGTTACTTCAGTTACCATCCACAGAGGAAAAACAAATCTCCAGGCCCTCCTGTCCTTTTTCACATTTTCCTTCCTCCTTCGCTTCTAGTCATAATCATTTTAATCTCCTGCATTTCCAGCCACTCTAATCATCATAGTGCACGTTACGGTTGTTTAGGTCTCACCTAACATGATCTCCAAAGTGACTCATTGTTTGGTTGTAGATGTTTACAGTTCACTCATAATCTGGATGAGGATAAGAGATGTGGCACGTCAAAGCATATAAACTGTGTATGAAAATAAATGAGCTTTCTCTTCGATGAGCACATATTCAGTTTGGCTCGAGCACAATGGCTGGCTTTAATGGATTGTAAAATATACACTAATCCATGCTTATGAAGCACAAAGTGCTTTACAATAAGTGCAAATTTAAACATCTCATGATGAGCTATGATGATGGTCTTATTGGGTCACTGTGAACGTTTTTAGGGACAGTTGATTGTAGAGCTACAATTGTATTTTGAGCACAGTTAACATATCAGTAATTTGTTGCAATATTTGGCGTTGGTTATAGGTAATAATGTATATTTATAATGTATTAGTAAATAAAATAAATATTGTAAATATATACAGTAAGAGGGAAGTTCTCTGAATTAACATGTGGATGATGGCGACTGTTTAGAGATTGTCATTTCAAATCTAATGTAACCTTTGTTTGTTTGTTTTATTGTTAAAAGCTAATTGAAATTAAATATTTTAATTAAAAATTGTAAATGAATCAGGTTTAGTTCAAATATGCATACCTAATGGATAGAGAACAATGCAGAGACTTTGTTGAGCAAATCAAGGAAAAAAGGCAGATTCTGCTTGGTATTCAACATTGAACTCCACTGTTATGTTTTTATTGCAATAAGTTATCATTTTAAAAGTTATACTGCATGAGTGATTATGATTAGAAATGTTTGTTTTTCATTTTTAAATATTATGAAATAAATTTGGAAATTAACCATGGCAACTTTATTGTAATATAGTTTGGTATATTTACCTTTGGCTCACAGCTGATAGTGATACTTGATTTTTGGCCCTTTATAGCAAAAGAATCTGGGCACCGCTGATTTTGAGCAACTTGTTACTGTTTTATTTTATTCTAAAAATGTCTTATAACTTCCCTCTGGAAAAAATAAAAATCAAATAGAATATTGTTTTTTGAGCATTTTGTTTTAGAAGGAAGATTTTCATTTGTTGTGATTGATATAAACTGGGTTTTTCCACCACCTATTAATGTCTTAAATTAATATAAACATGTCTGATCAGCTTTATTATTATTATTATTATTATTATTATTGTTGTTGTTGTTGTTGTTGTTGCTGTTGTTGTTGTTGTCGCTATTATTTTTATTATTGTTGCTGTTGCTATTATTTTTAATATTACTGTTATTATTATTTATTATTATTATTAGTATTATTATTACTATTAATATTATGAGCAATAATAATAATAATAATAAAAATAATAATGGAAACTATATATTACATTGGAATGAAAGGGTTTAAGTTGTTTAAATAATAAAACAAGCATTCCATATTAAACAATAAAATAAAATAAAACAAAATTAAATAGTCAGTTCAAATATGCTGTTTAAAATAAAATATATAAAATAATCTGTTTGACAACACCTCTAAATGTTGTCAATTCTAAATTAGATTTTTAGAAAAAAATCATTATCATTGAGCCCTGTATCAAAAGCCTTTTTATACTTGTGGGATTTTTCATTTTCTGAACTGTTACAGAATCCAAAATCTGGCCTCTCCTTATAATAGGAAATGCAATTGTGAGCCTGTTTATTATAGTAAGCTCTTTTATCCCAAGAGTGAGTTTCATGCTGTTTTTTAAAGATTGTGGTGCACAGATGCCAAAGTTTACACCTGGATCTTGTTCTGACGTTCCTGCTTTTCTCTTTGTAGTGTATGTTACCGGATGAAGCCTGCACTTCCCTCAGTATAGAGAGCATCCTACTCATCATGATGAACACAAAGACCTTGACCAAACCAATAGTGGTCATATCTGACGACATGCCAGTCACTATTAAGGTCCCTCGGGAGGAAAGTCCACCACGTCAAGGTAATACACCCAATACTGATCTATACACTACCGGTCAAAATCGCCTTGATGAACAAAATAATTTTCTTTAAAAAAACATTTAAAAAAATGCTTTTTTAAACTTTATTTTATCTGGCCAAAAAAAAAAAAAAAATTGCTGCATACATATATAAAAACTTTTCAGATTTCATAAAAGAAAGAGATCTAAACTTCTGTAGACCACCTGTATGAGATTTGTGTGGAGAAATGAGAAAGTGTTTTATTGCTGTTTAATTGTCTTTAATAACACAGAGTTGTAATTTGCACTAAGTTTTAATACCCCGCCTTGTTGGCAGAGGCTATTTACACTAATTCCGCCCATGGTAGGTTTACCAAGGTCAAAACTGTCACGACATGCATCAATCGGGGTCAAATGCTGGTCAAATTAAGGCGCGAATATACAACTTTTGCATGAGCAGAATCATGGGATGGATGAGACGTTGGATGCAGTGAATTGAATCGGAGGAGCGTGTTAAGCTGGCGCAGTGTCGCCGGGGATATCGCTGTGACCTCACAGCAAGAAGGTCGCTGGTTCGAGTCCTAGCTAGGCCACCTGCCATTTCACGTTCATTTCCTCTGATGCTCCGGTTTCCTCCACAAGTCCAAAGACATGCACTATAGGTAAATTGGGTAAGCTAAATTGTTCATACTGTATTTATGAATGAGAGTGTATGGGTTTTTCCCAGTGATGGGTTGCAGCTGGAAGGGCATCTGCTGCGTAAAAAATACACTGGATAAGTTGGCGGTTCATTCCACTGTGCCAACCCCAGATTAATAAAGGGACTAAGCCGAAAATAAAATAAATGAACCAATTAATTAATAATCTGAACCAGAACAAACCTTATAATTGAGAAAGTGTTTTATTGCTGTTCATTTGTCTTTATTTTAATGATCTGAACCAGAATGTACCTTGGAGTTGAGCTCTGTATATACTGTATAGAGTCACTTTCATGACTTGTGTTAATATATTATAAATGATTAGCCTTCTTGTGGAATTTTTATTATTCTTAATTATTACTTAAACAGACAATATTTGACTTTAAACTATTACAATGTCAACAAGAGTCACCTTTCAAACTTTTCAACACAATGCTTTTGGAGAAAAGATTAAGATGCAATTCACCATAATGCCATTCAAAAGCCTAAATAAGTGGAAAAAAACATAATTCACCAAATACAGAAATTTCAGTGTAGGTTAATTACATTAATAACTAGGCAAGTTTGGTTAATTAGCCAAGTCATTGGACAACAGTGGTTTGTAGTATAGGCAATAAAATAAAATTATTATATTATATTATATTATATTATATTATATTATATTATATTATATTATATTATATTATATTATATTATATTATATTATATTATATTGTATTATATTATATTATATTATATTATATTATATTATATTATATTATATTTTATCATATTATATTATATTGTATTATTATATTATATTATGTTATGTTATATTATACATTGCATCTTTAAGGCTTAAATAATCTGAAAACCTCTTGCTATGAATAAAAAATCTGAAACATCATGGGAAAATGGGTGCGTCTGACATTATACATGTGTGTCAGTCACTTCGAGAGGCCATAGAGTTCTTGTGCTGCATTGCGCCCATCTGGAGTCTGTTAGTATGTGGCAGTGTTGAGTTCGTGTGTATCTGCATGCGTGTTTATTGTGCATTCAGTGCGGTTCGGTCTGACAGTGTGAGCGGTTCATTAAAGATGTGGGACAAGGGACTCATAGATGCATCAGAGGAGAGGAAAAAGAGCGGCCTTCCAATTCTGGATAGCATTTGTTTTCACTTAAACATTCTTTAAGGCCTCCCCTTCCCATACACACATTCACAGAGAGGATAAGGAAAATTGATAAAGAAAGAGGCCCTTGTGTTTTATACCAGCATAGTCCATTCATCATATATACTGTACTGTATGGGCTGACTAGGACACAAAGACAGCAGGGTGGTGTCTAAAGTTCTACAAAGAAGCTTACTTTGACCATGACTGATTTGTTCTCTTCCCTGCATCCTCTTGGCACTATTGCACCTATTGCGGTTTGAATGGAGTCAGTTTAACTGACTGGCTGCTCTAATGAAAATCATTCCTGCTTAATAACACAATGTTGCTGTGCTGCTTGTAGCAAATGGAGTGCAGATCTATTAGTCCCACTTGATTAGGTAAATGACTGCCCCTCCTGAGGGATTCACAAATTCAGGTTCACAAAGAGCTATTTTTATTATTTTATATATTAAAGCAATTTTTATGTGAATATTTAAATGTCATTTTTCATTTAAAACCCTTAGTAATGTTGATTGACTATTCAAATCAATTTGGATATATAATATTTAAATATAATATGAGTATAAGTGATTATAATTCAAATAATATAAATAAATTTGATAGCAAAATATATTTTTGACAATTTAATTTTGGGAAAAAAAGATGCTCAGGGATTGCAAGTGGCTTTGTTGCATCAAATATACGTCACTTTACTTACAGCTGATTGGTCCAGTTTGTGTCTGCTAACTCTTAAGCCTGATTTATACTTCTGCGTCAGGTGACCGGCGTAACCCACGGCGCATGCAACGCGCGTGGCTGTGCATTTATACTTCTGCGCGCTGTCTCTGTCGGTCTGTATTAACACTTCCGAAACGCTAGTTGGCAGTGAGGTGTAAATGTTCCTCTGTGTCGAGTTTCTTCGCTGCTTTTTTGCTTTTCCTGAACACATCCGGGATGTACAAGTGGCTCAAACTCGCTCATTTTGAGGCAGGAACCGGCGGACGTGCAACTATGAGGTAAACACAAAACAAAACTTCTTTTGTGCTCCTTCACGGGACTCCACACTTGTAAACAATCGCTCGCGCCATTCGCTCGGCTCTCGGTCCCGCCCAGACTTGTCAGCGATACCAAGCCGACCAATCACAGAGCTTACGCTATGCGTCGTTGCGACGTGTAGTTAAATTTTTTGAGAGGTGCACGTCAGTGACGGCGACAGCCACGGCGAAGGGCTATGCGTCAGCGCCGTAGCATACGCCGGCGTTTGACGCAGAAGTATAAATCAGCCTTTAAAGTCGAAATTATACTTCTGCGTCAAGCGCATGTATATGGTCTGGCGCAGCTTTCGGTCGCATAGCCCTCGTCGTGGCTGACACCGTGAAGGAGCTCTAGATGTTTTGTGTTTACCTTATGATTATTGTTTTTGCATGTATGTCCGCCGGTTCCCGCCTCTGAAAAAGCAAGTTTTAGCTACTTGTACATTAAGGTGGTGTTCAGGAAAAACAAAACACTTGTGAAGAAACTCGATACAGAGGAACATAACATAACCTACTGCTAGCCAGCCAGTGTGTCGGAAGTATTATTGCAGAGCAACACAAGCAGCACGCAGAACTATAAATGCACGGCTATGCGCAAGACTTGAACCATGGGTTTTGGCGATCGCTCGACGCAAAAGTATAAACCAGCTGAATGAACCTGCTCTGGAGCAGGATAGCAGTGTAGCATACCATGGCGACAAAACCCAATCTAAACCAACCCATCTTGAGCTTGAAAACTCGGTTTGCTGTAACTAAACCTGAACTTTCCAGGGTAAAAGCTCAAACTGGCTTTGTCCAACAGATCACACACCTAGGAAATCTGAAGGGAATCCAGATTGTACCTGTATTTGAATCCAGTGAGAATCCAGTGTGGGCACTCTGTTGATAAACAGGCTTGCATATGTTGCCAACACCAGGCTTATTTTCTTTGGTGTGGATTAGGTAAACACAGATATGCCATAAAAGATATGAAAACAGGCTTTGAATCTTGTTTTGAACACAAAGACGGCTCTTGTACAGACATGGCAGAAAAGCAGCCTTTCAAAAAAGACTCAAAGCGCCGCTCTGGACAGGATCTCTAAGAATTTGGCCTAATCTACAAATCAAAGAGGGCAGCTCGTTGGAGTGCCATGCTTTGAGAAAAACACAGCAGAATAAAACATTGCCATCCAAAAGTTGATTTATGATCACGAAACACTCATAACTCGTATTTAGTCTTAAGCATAGGTGAAAACTTCAAATTATTTTTTGTAAATATATTCCTTTGAAATTGTTGTGCAGGTAATCATGATTAAGGATGAAATACACACACATATATATATAAACCTGTCCACAAAACTGTTGAAACAAACTTAAACTGTAAGGAAAGGAGAAAACTCTTGAGAAGAGAGTGAGTTTTCTTTACTATTCCTACTATTGTACTGATTTAGGCGATAGTTTTAGTGTTAAAGTGCTTTGTGAAATACAAATTCTTAACAGTCCTTAATTGAGGACTAACACCTCACCCTTATTTTTAAGATTTTCTACTTTATCGGCAAATTAGAAGCTACATTTAGTCTTAAGATGTTTTGTGGATAAGGCCTCTGAACAGTTAAAAAAGAGAAATAGACTAAACAACAAAGAATAAAATTATAAATGTAAACAATATGTTTGCCAATATGTAATCAATAAAAAATCGTTGAGTATAAAAAAGTCTTGTTACCCATGACTCCTTTAGTGAGTAAATAGGGCTTTGTACAAATGTGTATTATGTAATATGTATATGTATGTAATATGTAATGTATTTCAGTATGTCCCCAGCATAAATGACTACAATTCTTTGAAATGTAATGTTTTTATTTATTTATCTTTGGACATAGACCCTATATTTTAGTGTAATTAAACAAAACATTTAGTAAACAGTTACATGCATTAAATTAAGTCTGTGGGATTTTTAGCGATAAAAAAAATAATAAATCTAAATTCAAATTAGGTGCTTAACTAAAAAAAATCAACTAAATGTAATTTACTTTATGGTTATCTTGTTATTTGCTCTTTTAAAATCGTATTTAATATATTTCCCTAAAATAATAATTCGACTGTATATTACATTTTAAAATGTGCATTAGGTCACAGTTGTTAAATTAGTATCAATAATGTAATTTATATGCACAAACATATT